ATTCGATCAATCAGCTTTTCTTCATTCGCTCGTATACTTCATTTTCATTGTTCTTGCAATTATAATTGTATCAGTTTATAAAAATTATCTAGCACAGTTGCTTCAACTTCGTTGGCGACGTTGGTTAACTAACGATTTTCTTAGCAAATATTTATCTAAACATGCTTATTATCATATGTCATTGTTAAAAAATGATAATCCAGATCAAAGAATATCAATGGATATTAATTTATATGTTGAAAATGTTCATACTTTAGCAATAGGTCTCTTGAATGCATTCGCTTCGTTATTATCTTATGTCATTGCGCTTTGGTCTCTATCTGGTATAATCAGAATAAAAATTACTCAACATTTTTCGTTTGACATCAAAGGAAGTATGGTTTGGGCTGTACTTATTTACAACGGACTCGGTAAGAAGCAAGCCTATTTCCTAAAATGACTAATAAATGTCGCAAGAACGTTTTTCGGAATATTAGATGTTTTCTCCTTACCTAAACGCTGACTCAAAGACAATGACATATTCAGAAAGAATCCTATGAATATTCAAATACTTTCTAAATGATCTTAGGTAACTAATATAGGCTAAATTACTAAATAAATCTTTGACTGCATCAAGAACTACGCTCTAAATTCAACTTTTATGGTGATTTCATGGATGCCATAGAGTTCCGTTGAAAATTATAGTCAATATTCGACGTTGCAAAAACAAAAGTTTACACAGCTTAACCTTCTTAGATTTTGGCATTAATCGTGTATCGTATTATATGAAGTCAGTCTCGATCAAAAAAACGTCATTGGACATTTGGAAAGATTCTCTCGTACACTTTGGAAATTTCTGCACTTCTTTCTTAAAACTTAGTTTCATTATTATGTGAAGAGTATTTTACTTAGATTCATCATAAGCTCGTTCGTGTTCAGTGATAAAAAGGCTGAACAATTCTTACTAAGTAAATATGAAGCCATTTTTCATTTAGACAATCACAGCAGATAGGAAAAGATTTTCGGGAGAACGCAAAAGTTTTCGTTTCGGACATATTAAGTAGATACATGTGTCTAATTTAAATTCCTCAGACGTTAAACTTCTTTATTCGATGTAAAGTTATTATGCTCGTAAGTCCTTAGGGCGAAGAAAAATTTTTCAGATGTAACTCAAATATTCTTTATTGTATTTTCAATGCATTGCTCAAGTTTCCTAAGATTTGACGAAACTTTCTCAAAGTTCGACTTTTTCGCTAGGACTTCTGTGAATTTTGATGAGTCATCATTTGGAAATGGTTTCGTTTTTCTTGAACTAAGATTGCATATATCAATTAAAAAAATTGAATTCTTTGTTAAGGTACTTTAATTACTAATTTAATCGGTCGAGCTCTTTCATTTGAAATATATACAAGAACATCGTGAAGCTAATTTTCGATATGGACTTGTTCGTTTTCGAGATCACACAGAATCTGTCGCTTTCTATCGAAGTGAATCAAATGAACAGAAATCATTGACATCATTGTTTCTTGAAATAATGTCTAATTTTCATCAAATTATTTGTCGAAAATTTATTCTCAATTGATTTAATTCATTCTACACAACAGTAGCAATTATCTTTTCATTTCTCGTTGCTTTTCCACGATATTTTTTACATGAAATTACACTTGGTGATTTAACACAAATAGCAATGGTCTTTGATAATGTACATCAGTCACTATCATTTATACCAAAATCCTATGAAATTATTGTACAATGGCGGTCAGCTACAAAAAGATTGATTGAATTTCAATATGTTTTTAAACGAATTACATATAGCTAAACAAAATTCTGAAATTCAATTTCTTTATTTACCAAATGCACGATTTTTGCAAATTAAAGAATTAATTGTTCGATTATCATTGAAAATCGGTCAAGATAATGGTTGAATTCTTATCAATCGTCTCAGTTTAGTGCTTGAATCTCATCAAACTGTACTTATTACAGGTAAAAGAAAAAAATATAACTTACTAGAGTTTTGTAGCTGAAAATTTCTTTTACGCGGGTACTGTTACTAGACTAAGCCTATGCATTATTTCGCCTTTGACCTATACCCCATTTCACTTGTATTCATATCGAATTATTAATTTGTTCGTAATAGTATTTGATTCGAATATCTCATTTGAGATTATTCGCATATGACTTGTTCATGTCTTTCGTATGCTATTGAAACCAAGGACACAACGGTATCGCAACACTTCATTGATTAAGTTTTTGAAAAACATTCTTCGAGATCGACAAACCTAAATGCATTAATAGATGCAGCTCTAACCGATATATATTTAATAAAATACTGATTGACATACTATTTGATGTAGAATTCAATGCTCTATAAAACTGACTGTAAAAACATTTCATTAGGAGAAAAACTTTCATGCGACATTAGAGTTTTATCAGCAGTAATAGAGAAAAATAAACTTTTTATGTAGCCGCGTTACATGACGATAAAATCTTCCTAGAAATTCGACGATTCAATCAAAAACGATCATTCTTATGATATAAATAGAGTATAAGATGCTACATCGAATGGCATTCGATAGAACTTTCTAGCTCTGAGACTTGCGAAGATGATTGAAAGAAAGTGCATCAAAAATATAACATCATTAAGTTTGAACAAGCCAATCTTCATCTGGCACTTTTTCGTTTTTCTACTGAGAAACTTATGACTGATCTACTGAGTTAAACGTCTTTCTATGGCCAAACTCCTAAATTTTTCTGATCAATTTTTCATTTAATTTCATTAAAATTCAAAATAGTTCAGAAATAGGACTATGAAAAGCTTGGGAACCTATCTATTGTAAAAAACAGTGTCTTCATCATCAATCGTCTTGATTTGAAATCTCATACAACTTCATGCGTTCAATTTTTTATTTCATGCAACTATTGCAACAACCATAATAGATATTATCCTTTTGTTGTTCTGATTAGCATTCATGTCGACTGGAGTATTAAATATACATTTAGCAGAGACGGCACAGTCTTTTACATAGCTGTGCAATTTTTTAAAATCTATATACTTTTTGACACAGGCAGTAGTGAATCTGGTTGAACATATTTTAAACCTATGTCAAATGAATTGTTGGTGTGATCGTCTTGATGAAATTCAAAATTGGTCACGAGTTCTTTTGCTAGGGGAACAACAAAAGATGACATTTATTCGAATCCTCTATCATAGACCAAAATGGTTGTTTTTAGACACCATCGTTGGATGAACAAACAGAAACATATTTTTATTCTATTTTAATCCAAGAATTAATGGATTATTCAACTATTATCAGTGTAAAACATCGAAATAATTTAAAACAATTTCATCAAATAGACTTGACATTGGATAATAGAAATATAGCAGTACTTTCCTTATTATCGGATAAAAAACGAAAAACGACATTCTTTTGAATAATCTCATAAAATAAAACGCAATAATTCTGAGACTTTTCTAAATTTACTTCACTGCAAGGTAGTGTGTTTGTGTGTTGAAAGGTGGGAGACGAAGGTACCAGTATGTGCGTCGCTGTATGCCTTTTTTTGTCCGTACCATTTGCATGAAACTGTCAGAGAAAGCCGCTCCTAGAATAAAAGCACAGCTGACGAGAATATGATAATAAAATAAAATCTATAATCTCTCTGTTCTCACTGCTTACCTGCAGTAGTAAAATGAAAATCGAAAATCGATGTTGTTTTCGTTGATGCCTGTTACTTTAAATGATTTCTTACAATCTCTTCAACAAAATGCTTATATACCATAGAAAAAGCAAGGACTAAGGGTTGTATTGATATATTGAAGAATCTATTCGTATTTGTTTTGTTATCAATTGTTTGCTCAAATAGAAACTATCGACTGTTTTTACTTTCGAGTCATAGAGAAACATGAAAACCGATAAGACATTCATTTCTATCCGGAATAAATTGTATGGAATGAGCTTTTATCATTAAAACTAATATGTAATACTTTAAATTCCCGATCCCATATACCTGGCACTGCTTATCTATAAGATTGGTGATTAATAATCGTATCAACAAAGTGAAAGTAAAAAAGATTACTTTGATCTCTTGTTGCTTTCATCGTCTTTCAATGGAATCATCCATTGAATTAGAAGTCAACCAATGCCTGAAGATACTTCTCAATATTAAATTGACAAAAAGCACTGTTTAACATATCTAAAACGCCTAATGATCAAACGAATCGCCAGTATGCACTACCGGAGAAAAATCTGTCATACAAAAGGGCTATTATCTCATCCAAATCTCTTCTTTATAGAAAATCAAATAATGAAAAATTGCGAGAAAAAAGTCTACATATGAATTTATCAGTCGAGAAAAAATTTGGCTACTACATGAGGTTTTCGAATGATTGGATTGGTCTGACAGGCCCAAGACTTCGTAGAACTTCTTTCAGTTATCGGACAAGAACGAAGATGGATGTCCGTATAGATGTGTTTGTTGGTACAGATGTGTATTTTCAATATATCCACACTCACACCTTCAAGATGTATTTTATTCACATATCTTATCGCTATTATTCATATATGCTCTTGTGGCGTAAAAGGTTAACGCATCCGGCTCTTAACCGGAGGATTGACGGTTCAAGTCCGTCCAAGAGCAGTTCTCCATTATTTTTTAGCGCCCATGAATCATGATGAAACACCTCTTTCAATAAAAAAAAATGAAAAAGTAATTTCATAACACTTATAGCAGTGTTTCTCGCCAAATTTGAACTATGTTGATGGTACAGCTATGGCTGATGTGTAGTAGTGACTCATTTCACAGAGTGCCTTTTTCTTGCTACCACCAAGTCATTGTACGAAAGAAAACAGAAGCAAGAAGCAATGTTTATCTGATGCAATTACTTTTGAGGAGAAATAGTTGCTCTCTTAATAATGTATTTCATAATTTTGTAATGACAGACTTGCATTACAAAAAAATAGAGAACAGCTCTTGGATGGACTCGAAAAATACATTCAACAATAATGATGATGATGGCGCATGATCAAGTTTTATTGAACAAAACGGTCAAGAATCGCAATTGATGAACAGAATCAAACCATCAATCTTCCGGTTCGTAGCCGGATGCGCTAGCCGCTTACGCCACAAGAGCCCAAGTGTTAAAAGAATTTCTCAGATCCTTTTCATACCACCTTCGCCCGAAATTAAACACGAAGAATGATTGATATACGACAAATGGTAGTTTATATTCACAAATAATCACATGGTATACACTTGGATAGAGGGCAAGGCTACAGTCTTCAATTTATGATACATCATTCGATGAAAAAGTGTTTGCTCTATGTCAGATATTAAAAATCAACTTTCTAAGACAAGGAATTGAGGGATAATGAAAAGTTAACTACGATGTTCGAAAAAAAGTAATGGACTTAAGCCTTCTAACTTTATAGATAGTTATCATCAATGAATGTTTGCTTTTTGATCACAATAAGATATAATCTGCGTTATTGTAACAAGTGATTGAGTCTCCTTATTGATTGCCTTTGAAAAGAAATAAGATTTGAACTTGTCTGTCAAGCATCTTTCTTTTTTTTTTGCTTATACAATTTTATGCCAACAACTAGAACTTGCTCTCTATATGAGTATATTGCCAATTATCAGTATCATACGACGGGGCGATGACGGCACATTATTGCTTTTGTTAGAGTTTCTTATCGAGCCTTTCAGTCTCTTTTTTCGATAGCTCAGAATAGCTGCAGCTTGTAACATATAGTACATCAGTATCAGTGTCCAGTGTATATAAGAGGACTTATACACGGATGCTTGAACTGTGTGGGTGTTTGTGAAATATGCATGTGTTGTAGATGAATGTGGTCTTCACACACCTACACAGCCACAGTCATGCCCATATAAAAATTGCAATACGCCAAAATCATCAAATGTCACTAGGTTCGATGTTTATACGATGCGCTTTTGGTTTTACTCATCATATGGTTACGGGAAAATGTATGTATGCTTTTTGCAAAACATTATTTGATCATTGAGGTAATTGATTTGTTCGATATGACGGCAAAACACAATAAATAAATAGTCGTATTCAGAGATTTTGATTATTAAAATATTCGCTTTAAATGAAGTCAACATCATATTCAGAAATAGCAAAATAATTTGCAATCGAATAGCATATCCAATACTTCAACAATTTTTCATCAAGTTTCGGCCTTAGGCAAACTACAAGCCAAATTATTCAGGCACTGGTGCATGTGCGTGTAGGCGGATGAATGCAGGTGTGAGTTGTCTATTTACCACAGTCAACACACATACTGACACCATAACCTACAGCTACAGCGACATTCACCCAATCGCACACCCTATTTTTCATGGGTGTGAACAATATCAAAACAAATTTTGCCATGTATAAGAACATATCTATACTGAATGTTCATTAGACGAGCTTTTACCAGAGGTTTATATGATATTGTGCATGATATATAATATCATTATTAGTTATTGATTAAAATAAAAAATTAACATCATTTTCTAGGATGATAAAGTAAGTAAACATTTAAATAAACTAATCCAAAAATGAAATTTATATCATTTTGTCGATTAATAAATCTGAATTGAATAATACAGATAAATAAAAGAAATATTCTATAAGATTTCGACATATTAAATACTTCATATGTAAAACTGATGAATCTGATCATTTGTTATCTTTTCTAAGTCACGAATAAAAACTATTAACTATCAAAATACATTAAAAGAATAATTTCTCTCGATTTCAAAACAATCTAATCTTTTCACCCCATAATCTGTAATTCTAACGCTATACACCATTATTTCGTGAAAGACTATCTAAAAGGAGTGTAGATGTAAGTGTGAATGCAGATGTTTTCACAGGTCTTACACGTACCACACCAACCCATACTTCCTCACTCATACG